GTAGGTATGATAGAGGCTATGGTTATCTAATCGTGATGAAACTTGGTATACTTGTATATAATGATGAGAGTCGGGTTCGAATTGGGTAACAAACGAATAAACAGTTTCTGAGTTCTTGCCCTTGACTTAGTAAAAGCACGTCTAATTTGGCTTGTGGCACGGTAGAAACTACCGGCAATAGAAAGGTGGGTGTAAAATTCCAAATTCCTTTGATGAAGATCATAATTATTTGTTTTGCGTCAGATAAGACCTTAAAATCGAAGCTAATGTTGCGCCAAAGGCTGTGCAAATATTTGGGAATGACAACGAATGATTATTTTAGAACACATTTTACAATTATAATTTCCATGTTTATTCGTATACAGTAATGTTAATGAGCTAAGTTATGATAACGCTGAAAAATCATTTGAAAAATAAATATTAATTTGTGGTCAATGACAAAATAACGCACTATGTCCATGGATGTAAGAGCAATATAAGTTCCAGTTGGCTCTATCAGTTCCCATAACCAGGAAATAACCCTTCTGTCTTTTCCTGTCCCAGTTGGCTTAACTAAATGCTAAGGAGAAAAGGTTTCAGCCAGTGGCTTAATTAGATGAGTGGACTTACGTGGGTTGGGGCCCCTCCCTCTGGAAATTTTTTTAAAATTAAATACTGCATTTTCAAACCACTCTGCACGTTAATTTAATGCCACTGGTTTCGGCCTCAGCCTAAATGGAACAATGTTGAAAATAAAGATTTGGGTTATACAGTCAAGTAACCTAATTTCGTGGAAACCTATTATTCGTGGATTTCCGGAAACGATTAAAAATTTACATGAGCGACCTTCGCATTAGTTTGTTTTGATAAACATGGGTTTTATGTACAATATCAGCTAGTAAAATGAATTCAGTACTTTCAAGCAAGGTAAAATGTATTAATGTATACTTTGACAAATACAAAATGGCGGATTTCAGTTATTACCAAACGTCTCAATTTTTTATGTAACACAAAGTGGACCATATTCTTATGTAGTTTCAGTGACTTTAAGCAATAAATAACGCTACGTATCTTATTTTGTCAGTCACTATTTTTTTTTAAGATCATGGTTCTTTGAAGGAATTGTCACTAGTTATAATGAATTGATATTGAAGATAAATACTAAGAGAAGTTAATTATACCACCCGGTATCCATACATGTTTTTCTCGACTTATTTATAGATCAAACATTGTACACGAAAATAGGTGCATTCTGCCGCCGTTGCCGAGTAGGTTACTCATGAAATATGGGTCAAAGTGAAGGATTCATAAAGAAAATCGAAATAAACCAATTTTAATTATTTTGTAGAATATCTGAGGAAACATCTAAGACATAAAAAACCATTTTTCGTTTTTTAACTTTGACGAAATTCGGTGTTGAATCCTTATATCCACGAAAATAGGTTACACCACTGTACATCTTTTCAAAGCAAATGACCGACATTTTAGGCCCAGACTTCGCGAATCTTTATTCAAGACTTGGTGTTCCCCGTCTTAATTATGGGTTTCCTCCGCTGGTGTAAGACTCCCGTTGTCAGAATGTAATAAAATAATGCCAATAAAATATCATTTTGATATCGATGACAATGTTGATATTGATAATAAATAAATTAATGATCAAATCAAAGCAATCAATTGTAAAAAAATTGTCCTGAATATGCTTATGCTCCTCTCTTACTTATTAGGTTTCAATATACTTTTTGATAATTATTTAATTTTCCTTATATTAACAAAGACTGTTTCAAAACCTCCAGTCAAACCTCATTTCCCCAAAACATTGTGGCATTGAAGCATTGTTCTTTTCTGCCATCTCTTGTCTTAATAATATTTCAAAGAAAATATCTTTTTGTTATTCTTGACACCTGACCATCTTAATTAATGCTTTCAGTTGCAATTTGGGGAAATAATAAAACCGGAACTAATTATGAAATAGATGTATGACAGGTATTCATTCATTCATTACAGGTCGAGAAAAATTAATTTAATCTCCTTGAAACAGAAATTGAAGGCATGATAATCCCAACTTTATATTCTTCTATTATTAGATATCTGGATTATCCCAATAGCAAATGACACTTCGAGAACAATCAATATTCGTAGTTTGTTACATGTATTTAAACACTCAACTAATTAAATGACAACTTTTCCAAACTGTAAAACGAACATACGGCTTAATTGTAAAATAAAAAGGAGTTCGTTACATCTATTATCTTTTAAAGCTAATTATATAATCGAAGAACCTCAGCCCTAGGCTATCAGATACAAACCTAACCACCGTAAATATTAGGCATGCTCGAACACAAATATTCCTATACATTTTCACTCGAATCCCGTTTCCCACTTTTATATATTCTTGCTGAAATTATTAATTTATAAATTGATTGTTAAAATATTATCATTGTTAACATAGTGCTCAATACAATTGTAAATATGAAATAAACGGAATCATAAGAATCGAAATATTGAGTGAGTTTTTTTTTCTCTTGACTTTGAAAACGCTTTCAATTTTTAGCTCGTAAACACTAAAAGGCACGATTCTTGACGGATTTTGACAAAACTTAATATTTGTATTCAATATGAAAGCAACCAGTGGTCACATATTATCTTGTCTGGCAAGCTATCATTATGGTGGTTGTGAATATATATTTCTCTGTCTTGTTTTCGGAAGCATTACTAACCTAAGTAAAGAATATGAATGATTTTGTTTTATGTACATAGAAACCCTCTCTGTAGTCGGGAAAACTTAAGATATAACCTTTGAAACGTGGGTTCATGAATAAACACGGCACGCATCTTTTTGTTGCAACAGCGATTGGGATAATTAAAACATTCTTTTAATATCTCATTTTATTAAAACTTCCATGCCCCCGACAAAAGAATTACTTCCACCGGAAGTCACTCGTATTATTAACTAATATCAACTAACAAAGGAGTAAATGATTCATTAATAAATTGCTCAATCGCCATGTAATTACATGACCTCTGGACTCTATGCAATACACATGGAATAATACGAGTGGAAAATTTCACAAATAAAACTCAATCAGCGTGTAGATAAAATATAATATACCGCCTTTCACTTACAGACGGAAACAACTTTTTATACCCCTGTCCGTCCTGTCCACAATTGCTCGTAAACCCTGTGGAAGGCACAATTCTTGACGGATTTTGAAGAAAATTTATGTATGTGTTTTTAATCACACAAGGAAAAACCCTATCGATATTCAGAAACATCGAAAAATATGTGAGTAATTGCCCTTGTTCATGAAAACCTGTTTTCAGCTTGTTAACACTTTAGAAGGTACAATTCTTATCGGATTTTGACGAAACATGATGTGAGAGTTTCTAGTCAACCAAGGATGAACCGTATTGAAAATCGAAAAATATTACGTAAGAGTTATTGCCTTGTTCTTGAAAACGCGTTCAATTATTAGCTTGTAAACACTCCAGAAGGCACGGCACAATTCTTGACGGGTTTTGACGAAACTTGGCATGAGTGTTTGTAATCGCCCAAAGATAAACCCTATCGAAAATACAAACTATTCAATATGCGTTATTGCCCTTTTTCTTGGAAACTCGTTCAATTTTAGCTTGTAAGGTCATTGATTCATCTAAATATCGTTCGATTGCTGTGACATCGGACTCAATGTTAGATGTACACTTTCTGATAAAGGTATGAATATCTGAATGATTTACAAAATGTCGATAAAGGTTAATATCATGATTATAGAATGGGGAATTACTTTACTAGGTTTCTCAACATATTACAAGTTGTAGGAAATAGTTTTAGGTTTAATCCCTTTTTCTAAATTAAGCAATGAGTATAATTTCTGAGAAAGATCCAATTTGAACATAGTTTTAATAACAATAAATTCACAATCTATTTTGAACCACAAAACACTTACCAGATTCAGTATGAATAGCAATTCATTTCATATTGAACAATAATAAAAGATTCTTTTTTAATAAAGAATCGATTTACAAACCATAATGAACGAAAAAATAAAATACGTTTCAATAATAAACCAATTCACAAATTTTAATACCCGATCATTGAATTTAAATAACGAATCAATTTGTTGAAATGCATAAATATCCTTTTGAGTTTTTAATTGTGTTAGTAACCAACACAAAAGGCCTAGAGCCTTAAAAAGGATTCAGATAAAATTGAACTTAGGTTTGAAATTTATTAGTCGAGTATTTTCTATAGAACTGAAATTTATCTCTAGACCTACAGTTTTATACTCAGTTCCTAACACATTAAAAATCTTATAGTAGGGCAATTCTTTCCATGACAGTTAAAGTATGGATTCAAGTTCAATCGGTTTCAAGTAATATTCTGTGGTCTATTACGCATTAAACTACGTTAAAGATGTGACGTATTCCCCAACTATTAGCACATGCCTATGTTGGCAAACGCGAAATCATCGGATAGTCTGAAAGCTTGAATAGGCGAATCTCTCGGAACACCTCAAAATCGCCCTTCTCGCTTTTAATGCATGGGTTCATTCCAATAATCCATAAACAATAATTTTCTTTAATATAAACAACATAAAAATCAACAATACTTTATCAAATTAAATCTGACACATATCAAATTTACTTTCAAATTTTAAAACGTGTGTATGACGACTTTCTATATTTACGTAAGGTTTGTTTGTTTTCTAAATGCATTTTCCTTGCATTGATTAATATTTATAATGGATATGGATTTATATAACCTGCATGAATAAATTTTATTTTTTTGTATTATTACTCATATCTAGTTTCCCAAACTGTTTATAATATTTGTTTTTGTATTGATGTTAGGTTGAGATGTAATAGATTATGTAACCACCAGTTATTTCTTCAATTGAATCATTAGGTAGCTAAGGGCAACGGGTTACACGGATTAATTGGCTGGGATTATATCAAATGCACAGTAATTAGTGGATACCCAATATGTTATGTTGTTCATAGAAACAAACATTTGAAAAAACTATATCAGTGTTAAAAGTGATAAAGGTCTTAAAAAAGAGAGAAGTTTGGATATATCAATATTTATAACTTGTGAAAATGGCATTTGGGTCGTCGTCTGGAATTCGTTTTTTCAATTATTTCGCTTTGCCATCACGTAAGTTTCTGTATAATACTTTAAAGCATTAGATTATATTAGACATAACATACATCCTAATTCTCGATTCTAATTTTCTACTAAATTAAGAAACGATATTAACTCCATAACTATGTAAATATTGCATGACATTGCGTGCATTCGGCATAACATAATAAAAGTTGATATTAAACATGTCACTATCACAGAAGTTTTGTCATTAATATAATTTATATTTGGAAGAAATGTTCTGTATTTTTTAATACTTCAATGTTCAAAATACATATCGGTTGATATTGCCATATTATATATACATACTTGACCCAATCAAGCCACACTGACTGCGAATTAGAAAGGATTAGGTTATATTATTGGTGATCGCTTGGAATGACTTTCATCTTGATTTACCTAACCGATTAGTATTATCTTGGTTGTTAAACTTACATATAATTAGTTGATCTTATGCACCAAAATGAGGTAAAGTCTTATCTTTAATATATTTAAAAATTAGCTAATTTAATGCTAAACTTAAATTACTATTCTCGACCAACTTTAACTTTTAATTATTTTTGTAATCAGAAGAAATTCCCTTTGTGGCTCTTTAGTGTTTCAAAATGATAGACAATTTACATGGATATGATTTAAACAGTTTTTTTTATTTCTGTTATACATATAATCTTTATAGGATATAAATAGGGTTTCGGAAATTTTAGATGGATATGGTGACCTTACTCTATTAAAAGACATTTCATAGCACACTTTAAATGCTTTTATTTCTGGAGAAGAAATTTTAATCGGGGCAACTGCATGGCACATCTATTTTGCAAAATTAACAAGTGGTAACCTAAAATCGGATGAAAACTGTAGTCTCTATTGTATTCACAAACAAATTTTGACGTGTTTTTCCTAAGTGAGGGGCAATAACTTAAAAAACTGTTCATCAAAAAATCGTCAAATTCGAACTTTTCACAAGCAAATTTTATCGGGCAATAACTCAAAAGCCATTCATCGAAAAATCATCAAGATCTCATGAATATAAATGATCACACCAAATGTCATTAAAATCAGATAAAAACTGTAGCCTTTATTGTGTTCACAAGCCAATTGTGACGGATGGACGGACAGGGGCGACGACAATATACGACCACATTCTAAGTGGGCGTATAAAAATAAGAAATTCATATCACATTAATTCTTGCATTTATTTCTTCCATCTCTGAGAGAAAGAAATATAAAGAAATCTACTATCTAACTCTTGCAATAGTTTTAAGACTATTAAGTTCTAAAAGTTGAGTTTCAAATTAGACAAATCCACACTAAATACGACAGTGACAAAAATTTCAAATATTAAATCTGACCAGGCTTTTATTTTGTCATATATTGATTTGTTATGTGGTTCGAATGAAAAATAAGGTTTCAATTACTTGACAGATATATATTTAGTTAATTGTTAGTTGGTGCATACAATAAATAGAATTATCATTAATTGCATTTAACTAAATATATGTATAGTTTAAAATAAATCTATTCTTCTTTATTTAATTTTATTTGGTGCATACGGGATCATTATTTCCAACTCTCATAATATTATTATGGATTATATCATGTCAAAAGTACAAAAAATGACTTGCATAATATAGATCAATATTTTTAATTTAGTCTGTAATAAGTCAAAGTGTTACACCCAAACTTGTTTAAATTTTTATGAAAGTAAACACGGCGTATCATATTGATTATTCCTTATAAAAATTAATTAAAGATCAACATTCATTTCTGATATTTTTTATTCGTTTTTATTACTTGACAAGTTTTAATAATTTCTTGAATTTCAAATCGAGTTAACCAGAGTCCTTATCTTATTTCGAATAAACTCAATTTCACTCTGTTACTGGGTTTGCCATTCCATTTCCGCAGTCAACATCGCTTATATTATATACATTTTGTATTTTCAGATGTGGTTCGATTCATGGCAAGAGTAGTAATAATGGGTAGCTGTCTATTATTCATCAGCCTGCTTATTAGTTCCAAATCAAGTAAAATACCACAATACCAAAAACCACCAACACCATTACCTATGAGAAAGAAAGCTTCTCGATCATTAACCGCGACACTATTACAAAGGCCATCACCATCCACAACGACGATTCCAAAACAGAAAACTGGTTATTATTTATGTCCAAAACTAACTGGTGGGTTGGGTAATTCGATGTTTGTGTATGCTTCTGTTTATGGTATAGCCAGATCTACTGGTCGTCAATTATTCATGGAACATAACAACATGGACGCAGTGTTTGGACATCTAAACGGAACTGTGAATAAAGAACTATGCAACCGCAAACGTCTCAAAGAATTGAAGTCTAAAACACACTGCTCTTATGATCCAGACATGCTTCAAATGCCAGATCAACATAACTACTTGGTGGGAGAATATCTCCAGTCATTTAAATATTTTGAAAAATACCAAAACGAAATTCGCCAACAGTTTACCATCAAACAAGAGTTGAAGAATAAAGCTTGTGAATGCCTTCAAGACATTGCTAAGAATTATACCAGTTCATTAAATAAGACTCTGTCAACATCATCAGTGACTTTTATTAGTGTACATGTCAGGCGAGGTGACATGCTGGAGCAAAGTCATTTTAGGAAATATGGATACCAAATTCCGAAAGAAGACTATGTCATTAAAGCAATGGCTTATATGAAAACTCTTTATTCAAATATTGCGTTTGTGTTTGCCTCCAATGATATGAAGTGGGTGAAATCCAAATTTCACGGGAAAGATATATTCTTCCCCAAGCTTTCAGATGCACACAGTCAATTTGCAATATTAAGCTCATGTAACCACAGCATTACGTCTATTGGCACTTACGGTTGGTGGTCAGCTTATCTAGCAGGGGGAACAACTCTATATTATAAATATCCAGCGAGAGAAGGTTCAGATCTTCGAAAACAATTTAGCTCTGATTATAAAGATTTCTTTTTACGGAATTGGATTGGATTGAGCTAAACATTGTTTATTTCAGTGTATACTGCTTATTTCAGTGTATTAGGATTTTTACTTTATCATTGTTTTTTTTTCATCATTCAATGAAATAAAATCTTTGAAAGAATCCAATTTTTATCAGTATGAATTTTGTAGAAGCGTGCAATACAGACTACATCTTAAGGTGAAAAGAGATAAGATATGGTGACCGGTGCGGTGTTTGCTGCAGTATTTCCGATACATTTGAAAATAGACGAAGCAAATTTACGGGGACACGATTGACCTGCTCTATTTTCTACTCTATCAACAATTCTGCAACGGTCACCATACCTCGTCTTCCGACCTTAACACTGTCAGTTATTTACAAACAAATACCGAGCTATTATAAGATGTAAAGGTGAGAGTTGAAATCTCTCTTACTATTTTGTTTTGTATATAATACAATGTTTTGTACAGTAATTTTTTATTTGTTATAAATTATTTATTTCTTCTCATAGAACAATGAACATGTCTGCAAATTTTCAGAAATAAAAGTATTTTGTTTTAAGATATCGAGTCAAGCAAAAACGCTAGATCTTTTATATTGGAACATCATGCATTATGTGAAATGCGTTGAGTGTTTGTGTAACCAAACTAAGAATCTAAGTGAACACGTGTCACGTAGATCAATGGAAATAGGCAATACTAATATCATAATGTCCCTATAAATGTGAAGCATCAAACTCAAAATGAAAACAACCCGAAAATAATTATTGTAGCCTAGAGAGTGAACAGGAATTGGAACCCGCCCGATCCAACCACCCCGCAAGAGCCAAAGTTGAAAATTGTCTGACCATTACAAACAAAATTAGGCATCAGCTTTACCTTAAAATGAACAAAGAAACCAAATCAATCCACTATGAAATGCAATCAATCCATCAATAATTTGTGTCTGTATAGCAAGCACGACAAGGCGCCCGTCCAGTCACTTATCACTTATACGCTCAGTCAAAAGAGGGAAATTGTCCGATCATAAAGGGAAATTGTCCGATCATTATGAAAGCCATCCTTTTCTATCTTTGAACGGACAAACCAAAATATTATGTTGCTGGCTGCCATGTTAATGTCATCATTTGAGGAAGTTATACACTTGATAAAGAACGATTTCATAATATATTATTATCATGATATAATATTTGTGATCAGTTCCCTTGACTATTATTGAAATGAAATTAATATATTTTTATCAGTTACATCCATTGATATCTTTTAATTGATAAGTCAAGTCCCTATTTGTACTATGGTGTATGTTGTGAATGTATAGACAGACAGGGTAATAGGATATGATTACTTCTCCTTAGACTCCTGACACGTCTTTTCGTTATGAAATATTTAACCCACTTAAGATTGAAATACCTCCTCATTTGAAAAGTTCGTTAGCTGCTACCAATGTTTGGATGTCGAATTTTGTGAGCTGTTCGGATCGCGAGTACTTGTTTTATTTATTGCACATGAATGGAGATAAGCACAACAGTTTATTCTACCATAACTACTATAAATACAAATCTAATAGAAATTCATCGTCTGTATATATGCAAAATTGCAAAGAACGTAAATAGTCAAGCCATGATTCATCCTGTAAAACTTTTTATAAATTTTATAAAAAGAATGAGAGATCAAACGAGACCAAATCTAGTTGACACTGCGCAATTATAGCTATTTCCATATGCGGTTGGTAAACCAAAAACGTTTTCATCAAATTCTATGTATATTAAATGAAAATATTTCAAATTTGAAATTAAATGATTTGGTCAATAAAGATGGGCTACCGTATGCAAAAGATTTTAGCTAAAGAATACAAAGATCACCATTCATTGTGTAATCATGCAATTTTGGTCATTACGACAAGCAACGCTATGCCATTCAAATTTAAGCAGCATGCGACCATTTGAGCCATTGAGGTCTTCAGTTGATTGTCGTGCATTAAGCATTTCTTGTTTTACCAACCACATGTTGTAGTGGACGTTTCTTCAGTATGTTTAATTAGAGTACCAAGTAAGTTTTGTTCGCACCATTATGGCAGTATATAGGGAACCTAATGATGAGATATGGAGTCACAATTGAACTGAATGAAGATACCATCATACTCCATAATTGTAATCAACCCCCAATAATACATGCGATTATATTAATTATAACATATTATATTTATTGCAAAAAAAAACAAGGACAGAAACCAAATATTATTAATATGACAAATTATATTAAAAGTCAAGTAAACACAGAAGTATATTTTAAAAAACATAACAAGAAAAACGACGCGATAGATTGGGAAAATTTTAAAATATTCTTACCCTAATCTTATTACAAAATACTTTGAGGCTTTTGACACTTAAAAATAAGGAAACCCATCTTGAACATAAAAATAAACTTTTTTCAAGATAGCCGGACATCATTTATGACACATTTACACGAATAATGACACAAAATATATGAGTAATTCATATGCTGTAAATTTCAAACTGAAGGCCGAAACCCCAGATGTTCATCACTTCAAACAGAAGAGAAAGACTTCAAATCCCCATCATTTCACATGGAAGAACAAAACCTCAAATGTAGAACAAAACCATACTGAAGAACAGGATTTCAAATCTTCATCGCCTCATACTGAAGAATAGGATCTCAAATCTTCATCACTTCATACTGAAGAACAGGATCTCAAATCTTCATCTCTTCATATTGAAGAATAGGATCTCAAATCTTCACCACTTCATACTGAAGAACAGAATCTCAAATCTTCATCACTTCATTCTGAAGAACAGGATCTCAAATCTTCATCTCTTTATACTGAAGAACAGTATCTCAAATCTTCATCACTTCATACTGAAGAACAGGATCTCAAATCTTCATCTCTCCATACTGAAGAACAGGATCTCAAATCTTCATCTCTTCATATTGAAGAACAGGATCTCAAATCTTCATCTCTTCATATTGAAGAATAGGATCTCAAATCTTCATCTCTTCATATTGAAGAATAGGATCTCAAATCTTCATAACCTGTTGAAAAAGTTAAAAATCATTACTTATATTATTGTTCGATGTAATTAAAACGCGATACATACTAGTACATACCCTTAATATTAAATAAATGTCAAGAAAAATCACAATTTTCATCGTGAACCAACCAACAGAAGATCATATTAAAAATCACTGTTAAACATACGCTATTTACTGTGGTCTGATTATCTTACAATTAAATGTGATGATGTCCCTTCAAAGCAGACGTGAAATACATTAAAATTATTAACCTCATTGCACTACTGTGAATCAGGCGATCAATGTCTAATGGATCTGGAATCTAAATAGGTCAATAAAGGCGAGTAACACCATGAAGTTTGCTATTAGAGAAACTGTTATCAGGATAGACTTTTTTAAGATATTCCCAACCAATGTATGTTGGGGGGGGTGGGGGGGGGGG